CAAATTGAATATTTCTTACCTGGTTATCATTACGTGAAATATAATAATTCAGTTTTATTTACTAAAACTCAACTTAATTTGAGATATTTTATATTTATAAAAGGGTACTAGCGACTCTAATCCCAGTAAATATTTTAAAACAGTTAAAATTTATAATTTTTGTAATAAAGTACTTTCATATCTTCAACATTTAAACATTTAAAAAATATATATTATTTAACACAGAATAATATTTCAGAATGCTTTTCAATTAGGGTAGTCGAGAAAAAAATTACTAGTCTGGTAAAAATATAGTAAAAATCTAGCAGAGCACTTTTGTATTTCCAAAAAGATTTTGCATTTACCTAGAGTGAATGTGTAGCTCGTGGAATATTTTCCAATAACTGTGGCTTAAGGCGTCAAAAATTATAAGGGGAAGTCAAATTCAGTATAAACTGAGCAAGCAATTATACTTTCAGTTACAAGTGGAGTACAGTAAACTTGTAAAAATAGATTTTCATATCACCTTAAATTTTAACCTAGCAGAATTATTGACTTCTCATAGAAGGTAGTTGAAGGGTGAAAAATTACTAGGGTGGTAATAAATTAGTAAAATCTAGCACAACGGTGTAGTATTTCATATTTTCGAAAAGATTTTTCTTTTGTATTCAGCTAGCGTAAATGACATGTGACTGGTAGAATTGGAGTAGTTGGTTAACATTTAGTAAAAACTAACAGAGCAGATTCTTATTTTAAATAGAGTACAGTATAATTCAAAAAAAAATGTCTTCACCTTAAATGTTAACTTAGCAGAATTATTGACTTCTCACAAGGGTTTGTCGGGGGGTAAAAATTACTATAGTGATAATAAATTCGTAAAAACCTAGCAAAACACTGTGGTATTTCAAAATTTTCTTTTTAAATCCACTGGCGCGAATATTAAGCCAGTGGAAATGTTTACAAATAGGAATGGTTTAGGGGTAGAACATTATCAAGGTGGACAACTTTTAGTAAAAAGTTAACAGAACAGTTTTTCATTTCAGTTATAAGTGAAGGACGGTGCAATTGCAAAACAAAATCTTTTTACCTTAAATTTTAACCTAACGGAATTATTGACTTATCCCAAGGGACAGGTGAGTTGTGAATAATTACGAGGATGGTAATAAATTCGTAAAAACTAAGCCAAAACTGTGGTATTTAAAAAGTATTTTTTTAAATTCCGCTGGCTCGAATATTATGCTAGCGGGAACGTTTCCAAATAAGAAAAAAAATTTTTACAGCACATTTTAACCTAACAGAAATATTGACTTCTCACTCTCTCAGGGGTAGGTAAGGGCCGAAAAATTACTAGGGTGGTAATAAATTTGTAAACACCTAGCAGAACCCTGTGGTATATCATAAATATATTTTTTTGGAAATTTGTTAGCTTGAATATTCAGCAAGGGGAATCGCTCCCATTAGGATATGTTTGGGGGTGAACAATTATTGGGCTAGTAATAAATTAGACAAAAATGGGTAAAAATGAGCCATAGGCAAAAAGCTTTTTTTTTAAATTCTGCTAGCTTAAACCTTAATTCTGTAGAATCAATAAATTGATTATGCTCATGTGTCCCTGCTAGCTTAGGGGTCCTCAAAGCTTGCCAAAGAAAGAAAAATAATTCATTGTTACCGTTCAAATTAATTTGACGAATTTTATATGTATATACCAACTGCCAATAAAAAGTATGGAATATATGGTTTTTTACTACGCGTAGTACTAAATGTAGGGTGAAAATCACTTATAGAACAAAATTATTTCTGTCCTTGTTTAAAAAAATTATAAAATTGCTGGAGCACGTCTATTATAAATGTGCGCTTTTTAAATATAATGTACAAGTTAACACACGCAAGTCTACCATAGTCCAAAAGCTTTGTTTTCATGGAACACCCTATATATTTATATATTCCTAAAAGCTCCTTAAAAACTTGACCTCAACGAACTATATCATGTAAAGTATATTATGAACATTACAGGGTAGGTAGTAAGTTGAAATTATATAGTGTGAAAACCACTTGGGGAATACAATTGTCTTTGTCCTTACTTTAGAAAATTATTAAAAACGCCAAAACAGGTCAACTTTTAAATTCAAATTTACATTTTTCAAACATAAATTTAAATGTACAGGTTAGGTTGAGTGACGCATGTCTAGCAGAGTTCATTATCTTTATTTTTAGTGGAACACCCCGTATATTTATATGTTTTTTAAATCTCTTTAACAAGCTGATTATATAATGTATGATTTGTTATGAATATTATAAGGTGAACTTTTAAAATTGTATATAACATTTGTCAAGAAATTAAATACAACACTCAATATATTGATACTTAGTTCACAAAATGGATGTCTGTATTTAAATTATTAAAAAAAGCAATATTTAAAGTATAATTAATGATTAATTTAAAAATTTTGTTTATTTAATGTCTTCACAAAAATTATACATAGTTTCAAAATTTCAGCTTGAATTATTCATACTATAATTATATATACTTATAGACTCTACATAATGCACTTTTTTTAGATGAGGCTATAGCTTCTAAAAACATAAAAATATACAATGAAAACTAAAGATGATGCACTATGCTAGACTTACATGAATCATCCTGTACATTTAAATTATCTATTTAAATGTTTAACCAGTGCACATTTGAATTTAAAAGTATACAGCTCCCATCGTTTTTAATAATTTTCTTAGATATAAATAAGGACACAAAAATTTTTATTCCATAAGTGATTTCCACACTGTATAATTTTAAAATTCCAGCCTGTATTACTCATAATAGACCCTACATAATACCATAATACATGATACACTGTCGTGCCCTAAATACAAAAATTTAATAGTAACCAACTGAGTATCCCTATCACAGAAAAGGTAAAGCAGAAACTTGTTCCTATAACAAATATGGCAACATGGCCTTCAAACACACTGTCTATACAGCCATACTTGTGGCATCCCGAAACACAGATATTTGTTACGGATATATTTGTGGCATCTTTTTCACACAGTTTCTGATTACAAAATAATTGTGGAATCCGGTGCCACAATTATATTCGTCGATAATATTCATACCATGGAGTGTATCGAAATAATTCCTATCCATAAACACTCTGCTCGAAGGGTGCCAGTATCATAGTATGTTTACTTCGATTTGCCACAATTGAGGATATAGTATGCGATGCCACAAATATTGCGAAACGTGTATAGGTGTGTGTGTGTGTGTGTGCGTGTGTGTGTGCGTGTGTGTGTAGGTGTGTGTGTGTGCGTGTGTGCGTGTGTGTGTGTGTGAGTGTGTGTGTGTGTGTGTGTGTGTGTGAGTCCCAACTTTCCAATTACGCCGGTGTACCTAACATATATTTTATATGTTCTCTTTCTTTTTTGTTTATTTTTGGTTTTTTATGTTTGTTGTTTTTTGTTTATTCTTAAGAGGAAGGGCTCTTTTGTTTCTATCATATTAGAACAACATTTCTCTCTGTTGTTTTTTCTAGTCAGTCAAGGTTTTCTGAGTTTTTATAGTTTTTGATAGAAATTTGTTGGTTTGTTATTCATTCCTGTTAAATTTAATTAATTTGTAATATTAGATTAGGTGTCAGTACTTAAAAATATTTTAAAAAGCAATTTAAAAAACTATTTTAAAAGCACTTCTAAAACGTTCTTTCGGCAGTCAGTAATCTATTTGATTTATTAAAATAATCTCACCTGTTCTTTATTTTAATTTGCAAATTACTATCAGCATGCAATAATATATTGTAATTACTGCAACTAAATTCACCAAAAAAGATGTTCCTGGTTAACCAGCTTTTAGTTATAAAAATAATATCAAAACTTGAACACTTTAGCATTAACGACGACTAACGGTCGAATCCATCAATTACTTTAGCATTAAGTTTAACTCTACATCTCATTTATGTGCTATTCTATATCCAGCTCAGTAGATATTTGTTCATACTTGATTTATGATAGATTGATTTATGATAGTTCCTGTTTTATAACCTCAATTTCTAGAATTAAATTTTTTATTTCCCAATGTGTTATAAAAGCTTATAGACGCGTTTAAAGTTTCTCTTTATGAACCACGGAAAAATTATGTGGCTGCTATTACAAACCACAATTTTGATTATTCGATTTAAAAATATTGCACACATCGACCATGTTTTCACTACCATAACCTCACTTTCTTAAAACTTCAAAAACTTCAGTACTAAAATTAGTCACAACATAAAAAAAAACTGAAATTTGTGAAGAAAAAATACTAAAATTTAAAGAGCAGTGTTTTGTAAATATATATAGACATATAATACAAATATACTAAGCGTCGTAATATAGCGTCGTTCTCAGAGTACGACAGAGAAAACTGACGAAATGCAGTCGCTGCATTTCTTTGTAATGGGCCGGAGTTTATGACCACATCACCTAAAGAACCAATGGGAAGGTTACGTGGTGGATAAACCAGGCGCATTGGAAAAATATACAGGGACTGCTTTCCATCAATTTTTGTCTGTCGCACTGGAAAAACAGTAATGCATTTCAGCGATTAGTCTATGTGTATTATTTAGATGTGATATATGATTCATACATAACCTTATGTTTTTATTTCGTTAATCATTGTTTTATTCATAAACATATAATACAAGATAGACTGACCGTTGCAATACCATCCCGTTCTTGCACTGTGAAATGTGCATCTTTTTCTAATTTACCGAGTTTATCGACCACCTGATCTAAATGACCAATGAGAATGTCACGTGGTCGATGTGCAGTGACGACTTTGCGTCAATTTTCTCTATCGCACTTTGAAACGAACTGGTATTGCAACAATCAGTCTAGTTTTAATAGATTTAAAACGTGTTTTGAAAACAATTAATCAACTTGTCTTTTCTCTCTTAATCGTTTCTCCAGCTACTTCGGTTTCTGAGATTCTGAGAATAGTATCCGAAGATCATAACCCTTCTTACAAGCCTTTAAACCAAATTTATTTACAGAATTCTTCCTACTGGCTACACCGACAATATCAATCAAAAGGGTATCCAGTATTACCAGAATTTAGTTAGGGAGATTTTGAAATACAATATGATACCAGTAGCTACTTTATATCACTGGGAACTTCCACAAACGCTTGTTGCTGCGAAATTGGACTGGACCAATCCCGACCTTATCGACATTTTTGTGAATTACACTAGAGTTGTGATTCAGAATATTCCTGATGTAGGCTTCTGGATAACCGTAAATGAACCCAGACAGATCTGTCATCAAGGCTATGGTGAAGGTACGTTAGCTCCAGGAGGACTCAATAGTGGTGTGGATGACTATCAATGTGATTATATTGTACTTAAAGCTCACGCGAAGGTTTATCATATGTATAAGGAGGAGTTTCCGCACTATCAAGGTAATATTTTAGTTAAATAATAGTAGTAATTAGTATGAGACTATTACTTTTATTTATATATTTTATAGGATTTTGCTTTCTTCTTATTCTTATGGCGCCGTCTATTTGCGCAGGTTGGCCGTACAAATTGTTGCCAGATGATTTTTTTAATTCCCTAGAATTCTTGCCAAAATTTCCCTAGATTTCCTTAACAACTTGACAACCATATTTAACCTAGAATGGACCACCTAAGTCTGACGTCAGAATGAGCTAGGTTTTTAAAGACCTTTCCAAATATTTCTAATTTGTGTGTGTTGGTAACATAAGAAGAAGAAATATTGGTATTTTAATTGTTTGTAGAATAAATAAGGACTTTTGGTTATAAACATTCATTTTGTGCGATTGGTATGATATGTTGTTCGTGAATTTGTGAGGTAAGAATCCTCCTCAATCTTTTCTCCTTCGTAAGGATGTAGTGGCGTCATGTAGTTTGTTTGACTATTTTTGTCTAATTATCTCTCTCCTCTGCGTGTTGTTTTGCTTCGGAGAATGAGTAAGCAGTCATCGCTTTTATTTGGTTCGACTATCGTACTGGAAACCTTCCTCTGGATCTTTTACCCGCTACGTTACCTTTAACTATCGTTTGCTCCATGCCTTCTCTTCTTCTAATTATATGTCCAAAATATCTCAGTATATTTTGGTTGATATTTGTCTAGTTTTTATGTTAAGCTTTGATAGAATTGAGTTATTTGTGCGATGGGTGGTCCATGGTATGCGCAACATTATAGGGTAGACCCACATTTTTAATGCCATTATACGCTTTAAATCGGTTTTTTTTATTGTCTAAGGTTCTGAAGCATAGGTGCCGATAGGAAATATCAGCTCGAACTAGGCGTAATTTTGTGTTTTTTGTGATGTCAGTGGTCTGTTAAATTTTGTGTGAGTTTGGCTGTTGCTGATCTAGTCATTGTGATGAGTTGACGGATCCGTCTTCGCATCTTCCACTGTTAGTAATAACGGAGCCTACGTAATTAAATTACCCGACTATTTCGTAACCTGCCATGTTTCTTATCTTTGCTTGGTCGTTTCTGATTATATCGATGATCATCACATTGGTTTTCTGCATATTTATTTTTAAACCATATTCCGTACTCGCTGTGCCTAGCTTATTCATAATTTGTTACAGTTCTTCTGGTAATGACGCCAATATAACAGTGTTATCAGCATAACGTAGGTATTTGATTTTTCTTCCCCCTATCTTTGCTCCACCTTGCTATTCCTCAAAAACTTAACGCATAATATTAAAGAGAGAAAAAAAGCCTATTAAAATTGATGAATGTGCCAAAAATGTTATTCGAAGGAAAATTCATGGATTTTTTTTTCAAAAAAGAAATACCACACCTAAATAAAATTTTACAAGAAGTTAGAGATGATCCGGATTTGCCTCATATCGGACGAACTAAATTGTGGCAAGTTTTAAAAGAATTAAATTTCCGTTGGGAGAAATCAGACCGAAAATCACTTTTGATTGACCGGGAGGAGATAATATGTTGGAGAAGAAATTATCTAAGATCCATACGAAAATTCCGGTCTGAAGAAAGGCCAATCTTCTACCAGGATGATAGTTCACCTTCTTACCAGATTTAGATTTACCTGAGGTAAACTCAGGTCATACTCTAAAAAAAATTTGGTCAAATAAAAATATATTAAGCTCCAGGCAAGCCTTTATGGAAGGTTGGTCTACTGGTATCTCCCCACCTTCTGGTAAAGGCAGTAGATTAATAATTTCTCACATTGGCAGTGAAAAAGGATTTGTTAAACATGGTTTGTTGGAATTTCAGTCAAAAGCACAAAAGACTATCATGAGGAGATGACAGCTGATGTTTTCCAAGAGTATTTTGTGCAGATGATTGAACACATACCACCAAATTCAATTATAGTATTAGATAATGCACCTCATTCACGACTAGTAGAAAGACTTCTAACGACTGCGTGGAAGAAACAGGATATTCTTGACTGGCTGCGGAATAAGTATCTGGCATACGAAGATGGAATGGTAAAAGCAGAACTTTTAAAAATTGCCCGGCAACCCAAATCTAAGTTCAAGTAATACGTAGTTGACAAAATGGCGGAAAGGCGAAACATCACATTCCTTAGACTTCCACCCTACCACTGCGAAATAAATCCAATTCAACTCATTTGGGCACAAATGAAAAGTTATGTTTCTAGAAAAAATACGTAATATAAAATAAAAGCTGTGCGTGAATTGTTATAGTAGTCTTTACAACACATCACAGAACAAAACTGATAAGATGCAGTAAGACATGTAATAGAAGAAGAATAAAAAATGTGGGATCTTGATAACATAATCGATGCGACCATAGAGACACAACCGCTAATTATTAACCCTCAAGATGACTCGGATTCCAAAGTTGATCCTATTTGTTTTGAATTTGAATAGTTTTCTAATCGTAATTATAATATAAGGTAAGTAATAGTAGTTATAATCATAAGGTATTAAAGGGGAAAGGCGCAAAATGTCGATTGGCAAAATGTTCAATGTGTTTTAAATGTATACATTTTTTTTAAAATCCTGAGAAAACTAAAAAGCATTTTTGAAAAATTTAAAGGCAGAATAAATAAAAAGTTTCTTTTGCATGCAATATTTTCAAATAAAAGTTATACTATATTCTCTCTTTTATTTTCACCCCTGTTACATATCATATTAAAATAAACATTGTAGAAGTTTTCAGGGACTTTCTGCCCTCAGTAATAATGTAATCTTGTACTCTGCGTTTAAATTTTTCAAAAATATTTATTAGTTTTCTACGGATTCGAAAATAATGGATAAATTTAAATCACATTCAAAATTTTGCCAGGCGAAATTTTAAGGCCTTTCCCGTTAATTAAATAAATGTATCTTTTACAGATGGCAATTAACTTTTATAAACTAAAATAAATAAGTTTTGTTAAAACAAAAATACAATTTAAAAAATATCTTTATTTTGTTCAAATAAATGTTTGAATCATATACTCTACGACACTGGTCGGCCAAAATACCTATGTAATCGGATTATAAAGCTGACCGCTGTATTGTATTCCTACAAATACAAGGTGGGTTAGTCAAAAACATCTTAAATCGTCAATCGTCAGTTTCAGGTTGGTTTTTACTATTATATCGTATTACCTGTCCTCTCTGTATTTCAGTTCTCTAATTAGGATTAAACTTATAGTGAGCTATCAACAAATTATGAACTGAGTATAGTATGATTAGAAATAGTGTTAGTTAATATGGTTAGAAATAGTATTAAATTAGCTTATTTTTGCTTTTAGCTAAGATGTCCTTAACTATAGACTGTGAATGGTATCAACCTTTAACGAATTCCAAGGAAGATATTGATGCAGCTAGAAGATATATTGATTTTGAAGTAAGAATAATTATATATATATATATATATATATATATATATATATACATATATATATATATATTTAATGAATTTGTTATGGACTATTAACAGGTTTTCCTATAAAATCCTCAGTTCAGTCATCACTTCAAAGGAATCTGCAATCAACATTAATAAATTGTTACCATACACGCGAGTTTTTTTGCGAAATTTAAACTTTTTTTTTTAATTTTAATTAAAATTACCTATAATTAGAATTAATAGAATCTGATATTAGTTTCTAATATCAGACCTTCTTTGGCCGGTATCAAAATCACTGCTAGACCAGCAATAGAAAGAGTTGCTAGCACTACCTACAAATCGTAGCATTTCGAATCAACTTATATATGTTAAAACATTGAACTACGTCATTGGGATTAATAATATTAACATTTCTGGTCTGAATATAATAATTTTAATTGCATTCCTTTTCGTAATGGAGTACAAAGTGCAAAAACCTATCCTAGCGCAGATGCAGATACGGACCATAATCTATTACCCGCAAACGTCAACATTTATTTCAGAAAACCGGAGAAAAAAGTTAAAACCAAAATAAACGTCAAAAACCTAAAAGACGACAACTGCCAACAGCAACTAAACGCAGAGATAAATAAATTAACTGAAGGAAGCGTGGAATGGGCAGATATAAAAGAGCCATACTAAAAGCGGGAAAAGAGATCCTAGGCGAAGAAGAGAAAACCACTTAAAAAGACTGGATGATACCGAAAATAGTTGAGCTAATATCTAAAAAAATATATACACAAATAAAGATGGAAATAAATATAAAACCAGAATGTCAGGAACTGGAAGAACTCAGCAACAAACATGACACCTCAAACTTACATAAAAAATGAAAGAACCTACAGGCAACACCGGACAAAGAAGAACACTCATAACAAGAGATAATTATGAAGGAATACTTACTGAAGAGAGCAAAATAAAGGAAGTATGGGAACAATATATAATCCATCTGTTCCATAACGAGAGGGAAATGAACAATATATAGGTGAAGAAGAACAATACCTACAAATTTTACCCTCAGAAGTAAAGCAAGGAAAAGCAGCGGGTCCTGACCAAATTCCAGTTGAACTATTAAAAGCCTTATATAACGGTAATATAACGAGACTCACCCGAATTCTCAACCACATAATGTAGAGGGCAACATCTCGGAGGAATGGCTTAAATCAATTATTAAATAAAATTACACAACTACGAAGTTTTAGTTTTCTGAGTTCGCACAGACGACTATATTTGGGGTTTAGTTTACCTTAACAGACTTATTTGGTAAATACCTATGTAATATTCATCCAGTCTGATGTTATAAGTCCGATCGTTCATGTTTTTCATTTATCGGTTTTTATACCAATAAATATAGCCTTTCTAGCACATATAAAACAAACAATGCCAACGACCAAATAGATGCCAATATTTTACACCATATTAAGCACTCTTTGATCGTAGTGTAGCCATGCGGCGTTTCTATAGTTATCTCTTCTATGTTTATGGTTCCAGTCATAAAATAAATACTTTTAGCTACTTTAAGTTACCTTTATCTTAACGTTTGAATAATCCATAGATTAATGACATATGTCATGTATAAGTGAACATTTTACCAACCTATATCAATTAGTTTTTTTATTTAAATAATAATGAATTCTAGACAAACTAGATACATCAACCGAAAAAGACAGAAGTGAAAGTGTTGTTTCGTATTAATCTGTACCATTTTATATTAAACAAAAATCTTTAGCAAACTCTGACCAGATTAGTGTAGTTAATATTTTACATGTAAACACACAAAATTTATTAAACAAAATAGATCAGCTTAATATTTTTTTGAAAAATAAAAGATACAATATATTATGTTTCTCTGAACACTGGCTCAGAGAAAATGAATTAACAACATTAAAGCTTGATGGGTATTTTTTGTCAACTGTTTATTGTCGAAAGGTAAGGGAACATGGAGGTGTTGTAATTTTTATATTTATAAAATTTCTACACGACCAATTTGCTTAAATGATATATCATGTGAATTTGAGGGTAAATTTTTTGCATTAAAAATTATAGATATTAAAACTATTTTAGTAACAGTGTATAGAACCGGAAATGGGAATTTTAAAGTTTTTCTAGAGCTATTTGAAAAGTTATTGGAGTTTTGCTCGGCTAATTTTTTAGAAATAATAATAATTGGAGATTTCAACATTGATTTCAAAAAAGATTCTAATGAATTAAACAGTTTCAGTGATCTAATTTCTACTTTTGGCTTAACCATAAATATTAGGGAATTTACTAGAATCACAACTAGATCAGCAACTTGTTTAGATAACATCTTAATAAACATAAGCAGTGAGATAGTTGGTTGTGGAATTGTGGACCCATGTATTTTTGATCATCTTGCACAATTTCTCTACTTAAAACTAAAATCTGAAAAAAACATAGTGCTAATACATACAGAAGACATATAACAAGTAATGGCACACGGATGTTAAAACATTCGTTAAACAACATTGACTGGGCTTCAGTTGTTTCTCTCAAAACAGCAACATAATTAGCTCAGTTTATTACCGAAATGTATGTTAAGTTAACTGAAATTAATTTTCCATTAAAAAAATCACGTACTCATAGTAAAGCTCCAATTTCTTGGTTTGATAATGAACTAATAGAAATGCAAAAAAATGTTTCCAGTCAAGATAATTGCTGATGTTACAAAGGAATATAGTGAGTATAAAAAATTTAAGATGCCCTATAAATCACCAATATCATTAAATAAACAACTGGCCTATGAGAATTTTTTTTTCCAATTCAGAAAATATATCTCGTGATAGTTGGAAAGTTATAAATTATCACAGAAATAAATTTCAAAATAAAAAAGTCTGTCCAAGCGCGATTACATCAAACGATTTCAAGAATTACTTTACTTCAGTGGCTAAACATATTAGAAGTTCTTTTAATTCTACAAATGAAAATGTAGCCATAGATTTTTTGAAAGATGTACACTCTCCTTGCGACTCTTTATTTTTATTACCTGTTAGTGATACTGAAATCAGGAATGTTTTGCATAGATTGAAAAATTCACACTGCACGGATTTTTATTTCTTAAACAAAAAAATAATTGTGGAAACAATCGATATTATTGTTGACAAATTAATTATATTATATAATAATTTTCCCATTACCATTCCCATTTTCGGCAAAATTTTTGAGAGTATTCTAAATGTTCGTTTGGTAGAATATCTAGAAAAACACAAAATACTTTACTGTAATCAATATGGCTTTAGAAAAAAGTGTAGCACTACACTAGCTATACAGAAAAGTGTAAGAGATATAGTTGATGGCTTAGAGGAAGGTCATTTTGTGTCTTTAACATTGTGTGACTTATCCAAAGCTTTTGACTGTGTTTCGCATGAATTACTGTTGGAAAAAATGCATAAATACGGTATTAGGGGAAACACTCTTAATCTATTTAGATCATACCTAACAAATAGAAAACAGGCAGTTTTTCTTAATAACAGTTATTCTGAGTTTAACACTGTCGAATATGGTGTACCTCAAGGTTCGATATTAGGACCCACTTTGTTTCTTATTTATCTGAACGATTTATTTCACTACATTTTTCCTATAAAATGTGTTTGCTTCTAAGATGATACAACTCTCATAAATACTGATATTAATCAGAATAATTTAAAAATTAAAATAGATAATGATACCCAGAAAGCAAAAAACTGGTTCTCACATAATGGGCTAAAGCTAAATGAAGAGAAAAATCAGAATTTGATTTTTAGTTCTGATCGAAAGTATATCTTAAGAAATAGTGTTAAACTATTAGGAATTATTAGACGATATTTTGGATTGGAGTGCTCATATAGATTACTTAAGTTCTAGACTTGCTACAAGTATATTTTTAATACGCAACTTAGTTTATCTTTTTCTTCTTTAAGTGCCGTCTTCGTTCCGAAGTTTGGCTATCATCAAAGCTATGCGTATTTTTGATGCTGCAGATCTAAACAGTTGGTAATTGGTGCAATTGTACCATTCTCTCAAGTTTTTCAACCATGAATGCCTTCTTCTTCCTATAGATCTCTTTCCCATTATCTTTCCCTGTATAATCAATTGCAGCAACTGGTATTTATCTCCCCTCATAACATGTCCCAAATATTGTAGTTTGCGCTTTTTAACAGTAAGTATCAGCTCTTTCTCTTTCCGCACTCTCCGCAAAACCTCCACATTTGTTACTTTCTCTGTCCAGGGTATTTTTAATATTCTACGATACATCCACAACTCAAATGCTTCTATCTTTTTGGTATCGATCTTTTTCAATGTCCATGTTTCCATCCCGTAGAGGAGAACTGACATAACGTACCATCTCAAAAGGCGAATTTTAAGTTTTAGACTTAGATCTCTTCCGCAGAACACCTTTTTCAATTTAGTAAATGTGGCTCTAGCTTTCTCAACTTAGTTTATATGATTCCTAAAAATACCCTTAGAATGTGCTACTTTGTACTATCTCATAGCCTAGTACAGTACGGAATAACTGTTTGGGTTAATTATTCTTACGCAGATCGAATTTTTAAATTACAAAAAAGAGTAGTGAGGATACTTGCAAGAGCAGAGTATAGGGAACACTGTAAATCTTTATTTTTTGATTTAGGTATTATACCACTACCTTCACTCTATATATATATATATATATATATATATATATATATATTATATATATATATATATATATATATATATATATATATATATATATATATTGCTAGTTGAGACGCTAATTGAAATTCATGCAAACAAATGTAAGTTTAACATAAACTCCAACGTCCATGATCACGATACAAGATCTAGATATGCTATTAGAGCACAACGTTTCAGGTTGACAAAGAGCAGTTGCCAGATGAAGTAAAAGTCTTCACTTGTTATTGTTTAAGCTTAAAATTAAATCACACTTTTTGAAACATTGTTTCTATTCAAAAACGGAGTACCTAAGTACAGCTTTTACACAATAGTACTAGTTTGGTCAGGGCAGTTGCCTATTATAATTATATTTCATGTTTTTTTATAATTCCACAAAGTGTGTTTGTCGTTTTCTTATTTTTTAACTGTTAATATTAAATATATACATGTTTGTAATGTTTAAATTATTCAAATTTTTTTTATATGTTTTATATGTATTGTCACTATTCGTTTGACTTGTCAAAAACAAAACTATTTTTGTATATTGATTAAATAAATTCTATTCTATTCTATTCTAATGAGTTTTAATGAACTAAAATTTTCAATTAAATAATACAATAATTGTTGAAAATATGTCTTGTTTTAGTGTGGTATGTACTCTTATCCAATATACCATGGTGATTGGCCGCCAATTGTGAAAGAGCGCGTCAAATTGAGAAGTGGGCTTCAAGGATATAACCGAAGTCGATTACCAGAATTTACTCCAGAAGAGATCAATTACATAAAAGGAACTTCTGATTTGTATTTGCTTAATATTTATTTTGCGTATTTAGCTAAAGATGTACCCGAAGCTCCCAGTAATGTTACTAGTTGCCAATCTGATATTAGAGCAGAACTCATTCAATTTCCTGGAATTAGTGTCGGAGTTAATGGATTTCCTGTAAGTTGAAAACGAACTAAAATATATAGTTTAAAAATTGTATTCTTCTACAGCAGGCGGTATTGTAGACTACCGGGAAGTTTCATACAATGTTGCTGTGTTTTTAAGTAAATAAAAAAAATATGAAACATTTCAAAAATCAAAATAACAAATTATGGTCAGTTTTGATATTTTGTATACCTACACAATCTACCTACTAGTTAGCTAACTGTTAGCCCTAAGCTCCAGCTCAGATCAGAGATAATGTAAGTCGACAAAATTTCACCAGTTCCTGGGGGTCATCTTAGATGCGCCCAGTTGTAGTTTTTATTAATTACCGAAGTTAACGGTCTATTGCATTTACCTTTGTAAATTCCACGAGGATTGTTTTTGGTTACTGATGTCCTTCTAGAGTTTTTCTGTGACCAAACAATGTTTTTTAACAACTTTTTATTAAACTGATGATTCTTCTCTTCTTCTTAGAGTGCCGTCTCCCTACGGAGGTTGGCAATCATAACGGCTATTTTTATTTTAGAACTTGATGGAAGGATTTAAGAATCAGGCAAGAATCTAGAAACTGATGATGGAATGATTTAGTTTCGGAAAGATCTTCTTTAAAATAAAGTTTTAAGCTTTTAATAAGCATTTCTTATACCTTGATACACACTAACACCACGTGTTTTTAGTGAAAGATATTCTTTTAATTTTTTACTTCTTATTTAATGTCTCTTTAGATATTTTTCATGACGTTTTTAATTTATATCTGCATAGAGTAAATATATGATGACTATACACGAATTAATCGAGAGTAGTGAATTGATGTCAAGAACAGCTATTCTATGACGCTACCCGTGACGAAGTCGCCGTCTTGTGGCGCTAGTTCCGTGACGCTCGCCTTAGCATTTTACTGTAGAGAAATAGTAATGCAACGCCAGCATAGAAGCTTTGCTTTAAAAATTGTACATACATTTATTACAATACTTGGACACAGGTTGGGGTGCCAAATTTTTGAAAAATCTGTGATAAAACAGCTCGGTCTAAATGAACATCTCTATAAGGCCATACAGAAAGCTGTACTCTTCGCGACGTTTAGATGTGTACGAAAATTTTTGGGAGATACTTCAACATACCAAGTTACCTAGGGCTCGATAACACGGAAAGGGTCCCACCAGAGCTCAATCCTTTTGATACCGTAGGTATCTGCGATGAGTGAATTTTCCTCTTAGAGGGAATGTGAGCCGTATGGCTAAATCTGGGATAATAATACTTAATAATAATTCTCATGTGTATTTAAATCATCTAGGATATTGTATGCTATAGAATTGTTCTAAATATGTCTGTCAATGAATCACATACCAATTTTTATTATTTCTCAGCTAGTCTTACATAACATTCAACAGTTTTTTATTAAGTATATATTTTAATTATATTATTCTTGTAGAAAATGGTCTTTTCTACAAAAGTTCGTTAGATAAATTAAAAATAATTAAAATATTTAAATTTCTCATATTACTGAATTAATGACCTACGTGATCAGCATGTCAAGCCTTCTTCCTGCTGTATCGTATCAACTATCAGTTTTTTACATTTGAACTACTCAAACCCAACTACTCTAATACTATTCGTGTTTGGCTTCTTAAATAGAAGCAAATAAGTCATACTTCATCTCATGCTTCTCAAATGGAAGCAGATTTTAAGTTTAATATTATTTTTATTAAATAGCTTTACTTTTCTAAATTTAGTGCTAATGCATAAAATATGTAAGTCATTTAATACAGAAGAAAATAAAAGTTTTCGTGCTCACCTATCGAAAAATACTGACTCCGAAAAATTACATGGTTGCCGGTGATACAGTCAAACTTTATCGTCCTATCTATCGTATTTATTTAGCTTAAGAGCATTTGTGTACTTTTAAAACATTCAATATAAACATTTGTGTATTTTATTACTATTTAAAAAGGTGATTTGTTAACTTATAGGTGAAAATTTTACTTTACATATAGCCAAATATATTGGCCGAATAGCAAATACCTACACTATTACTAATTCGCAATTTGGCGACCTACTGGTCGCTGGTCCTTCGAGATTTATATTTATTTTTTATCTACCAAATATAGGAACTTAAGAATATAGTTTTACTAATACTTGTTTTAAAAAATTAATCTAGCTAACTCATTCTTTTCCCTACAATTCTATTATTCGATCTTAAAAATTCTACAACGTTCTCTTTTATTTCTCTTTTGGCAATTATACCGACTCCTCTCCGAGTTTACTTTTTTCTACATACCGCAATTGTTTTCTATTCATCTTCTTCTTTTAGGTTTGTCCTTTTCACTTCGTTTCTTGAATAACAGTAATTTGTACAAGATTTTCAAGATTCCTGTTTGGTTCTGGAATATTTTTTTTCAGACGATGCCATTCTTTTTGACAACATACTAACAACAGAACCAAAGTGCAATGCTTTCCAATACCCGCTTACATTTTCTCAAGATTCCTACTGTAAGAACTAACCTCTCAGCCAATGTATTGTTTTCTACATCCCAATACTACTCGACATACACTTTATATAATGTTGTGGAAATGTTTTCCTAATTATGTGCTTGTCTAAACGGGATTAAAATCATTTGCGAAGCCCTTCACAATCTAATATTTTATTGCATATAAAAGTAACATTTTTTTATTTTAATAATTCTAGCAGCTTTAGTATTTTCTTACGTGTTAACTGTTTTATGGATTTGTAGATCGTACCATGGAGTATAGAAAATATGTTGAAATTTATCAAGGACGAATATAAGGATCCTGAGATACTCATTACAGAAATAGGCACTTCTGAAGATGGTTCTTCTTTGGAAGATGATATGAGAATAGACTATTTCGAAGTACGTATAAAATAATATATATGTAATATATCTTTATCACTGTTATGTAAAAAATTAACAAAACTGTTGTTTAATATTTTTTAATATAGCTGTCTTATATTATTCAGATTAAAATACCTTAAAGGGAAAGTTAACTTATCCCAGACATCTAGGTTATCAAAAGTATTTAGCTCTGGAAAACTCGAGCTCTAGAGGACCTGGAATGTTTCACAAAAATGTTTCGATTCGTCTGAACTACTTTACTATTTGTAGTTCAATGAAAGACTTTTAGGAATGATATTAGTAATAGATAGATAGCTTAATAAGTAATGTCTGCTTACTTTTTATTTCCATGTTCTTTTTTAAATTTTTATCTAAAGATCTGTATATGTATAGCATTTTTCATATAAAAAACTTGCACGTCATTTAAGATTTACGTCAGAACCCCACAGCGTTGCCAAAACATCAGAATAGTTAGTAAGTGAGGAATTTTTAAAATGTCAACTATTTGTCAAAGTATTATATTAACAGTAAATACACTTACAAGACTACTGCATTATATTAAAATACATAAGAAAACATTTTAATACTAAATTATATATTCTAAATTTTAAACTTACGTCTTTTATGGCTTTAATAGTAAAAACGTCCCACCATTATTTCTTGTTCATAAAAATCTATATTATATGAAAGTTTATCAGCTTTTTACAGACTATTTATTTGTTTTGGCATATTACAATCACAATACACAACAATAATTAGTTTTTAAAGCTATTAATCTAAAATTAATATGTATTTATAAATACAATTTATTAATATATTATATTATGATCAAATTGTGAAAGAAATCAAAACATAAACAAAATTTCTACTCTAAAAAAGAGGCAACACTTTATACACTTTTGCCACATGCTTAACTGAAAATAAAATTTGAAGTATTTCCATATCAGTTGCGTACAATTGTCTAATGTATTTAATTAAAATTATTATTTTGTGGAATATTAGACTTAAAGAGTTATTTCATAAAATTTGTATTATGAATAATAACAAATGTTTTTGGTCATTTAATCAATATAATTGGCATATAATCACTATGAGATCTGGCCTATTATTTTTATATATATTATTTATATGTCACGGGTTCGTTTGTGAGCACAATACATTCCCAGTGTAGCTTGTAGTTGTAATTTTTAGTTATGTCATTAGTCATTTATATTTATATAAATATAATTGGAGAAGTTCGGTTTGGAGAAATCTTTATACCGCACCTTCCAATTAGTTGCAATAGATGGGACAAATACTTTACAAATCTACTGGCGGAAGAAAGGTCAGAATATTTGCAAACACGTAGTGCAAAGAAGTAGCTCGAGTATGCCAAGCACTAAAGAATAGAAAATCACTAGGTCCTGGCAATATCACACTTAAGCTATTCAAGTACGATACAAGTAAATTATATAAGCAGCTTGCTAGCCTTTACCAAAAATGTATTAACGGAGAGAGTATACCTAAGGAGTAGGGGACATCATTTATCACGATAATATGTAAGAAGGGAAGTAAAGATGTATGTGACAATTATCGAGGAATCGCAGTCCTTAGTACCATCTCGACAGTTTACGGGAAACTCATCAAAAAGAGAATGGAAGATGAATTATGTGATATGGAGGCCGAATAACAGGCTTGCTTTGGAGCAGAGAGATCAACTATTGACCACCTGTTTACTGTTACCCAGCTGATCGAAAAAAAGTCGCATAAAATCAACCAACACATCTTTTCTACGTGGACCCTTAAAAAAGCTTATGATAGTGTGCCACAACAAAAACTCTCTGAAGCTCTCGAGAAAACCAATATTAATGTAACCTTAATCAAGGCTGTTTAAGACCATTACAAGAACTTCTTCTTCTTACGGTACCTATCCGACCCGGATGTTGGCGATCAACATGGCTATTCTAACTTTGCTTGCTGCTATTCTGAATAGTCTGGTTGTCGATGTATTAAATCACTTTCTCATGAAATTCTTAAAATACGCCTGTAACACCACATCTCGAATGCCTCAAGGTTTTTTAAAGAAGCTTCGGAAAGTGTTAAGGCCTCTACTCCGTATAATAAAGTAAAAAATACATAGCATCTAATGAGAGCGATTTTGGTAGCGAGTGGAAAATCGTGATTTCTGAAAAAAGACTTCATCATTATGAACGCTGATCTCGCTTTTCCTATGCGTTGTTTTATTTCACTGGAGTGATCCCATTGGCTGTTAATGTTGGTACCAAGGTATGTGTAGCTGTCCACTCTGTCAATTGGATGTTGGTTAACCAAAAGCTGTGTATTTAATATTTCGCGCTTACTGACTACCATGTACTTTGCTTTCTTCGCATTAAGATCAAGTCCGTGTTCTCTATTTATATCTGATATACACGACATTATTCTTTGCAAACCGTTCAGACTATTTGCAAAAAACTACTGCGTCGTCGGCATATCTAATGTTGTTTAGACGCATTCCGTTGACTAATACGCCTTCTTGTAGTTCTCCTAGCGCTTGCTCGAAGACATATTCAGAGTATATATTAAATAATACCGGGGACAGAATGCATCCTTGCCTCACTCCTCTATCTATGGAGACTGCCTCTGTCAATTGGTTATTCACTTTAATATTGGCTGTTTGGTTGTAATATAAATTATAGATAATTCTCAAGTCCCTATCATCTAACCTCACTTCTTTCAAGATGTTTATAAGTTTATCATGCTTTACTCTATCAAATGCCTTTTTGTAGTCGATAAAACAAGTACACACATCACAGTTAACATCGCTGCATCTTTGCATAAGCACTTGGACAGCGAATAGAGCTTCTCGGGTGCCTAAGGAATCGCGGAATCCAAACTGCGTCCATGATACTTGTTCTTCGCATTTTTTATATATTCTACCGTGTATCACTTTAAAGAACGTTTTAAGTAAGTTATATATATATATATATATATATATATATACATATATAAAAACAACAAAAGTAAAATAGGTCAGAAGGTATTAGCAAAGGATTTAAACAAGGATGCTGTGTATCTCCTACTGTGTTTAAGATCTACTCGGAGCAAGCGATAAAAACGTGGACAAGAAAGTGAAGAGACGTGGGAATTCCTCTAAACGACGTAATATTGTACATATTGAGTTTTACAGACGCCAGATAGTGATGGCCGAAGACTGTGAAGACCTCAAATATATGACCCATAAACTTATCGAAGAAAATGAACTATGGGGGCTAAGTTAATATCAAGAAAACTGAATACATGTGTTGGAAGAATTCAACAAAATCTAATCTTGGAAGAAATACAGAAGCGAGAAATAAATCACTGTCAAAAATACAAATATTTAGGCATGCAAATAACCAACGATGTCAAATTAGACGACGAAATTAAACAACCAGTTTAATTAAAAATTAAACCAGAAGAAATAACCAGTAAAGAGAAAGCCATTAGACAATTAAACATTGTACTGTGGGACAAAACCCTCTCCAAAGAAAACAAACACAATATCTATAATAGCATTATAAAAATCATTGTTACATATGGAAGTGAGATATGGTCACTAACAGGAAAAAAAAAATAAAAGCAATATAAGCAACAGAAATGGACTTCTGGAGAAGAGCGGCTGGAGAATTAAGATTAGACAAAGTTAGAAACGAAAAAATACAAAAAAATGATGGATGTAAAGCACAATATAACAGAGGACATCAGAATAAATCAACTAAGATGGTATGAACACGTCCAAAGAATGAATGAACACATAATACTAAAGAAAGTATTGAACTGGACACTGCATTGAAGAAAAAAGTAAGGTAGAACGAGATTAAGTTGGAGAGAAGGAATCGATAAAGACTTAAGGGAGAGGGGAGTTGAAGAAAACCTTTGGAACGACCGAGATAAATGGAGATTGGAAATCAGAAGACGGCGTAGAACGTTATAAACTAATTGACTGATTGGATTGAGTATATCTTTTACCAGAAAACGGAGAACTCAAGAAAGCAGGAGATGGTAAGCGTATGCCTAACACCTCGGTGGGTCTTTTGTTTCGATCATTCTTGTTTGTTTTGGTTGTAGTTATATATATATATATATATATATATATATATAATATATATATATATATATATATATATAATATATATATATATATATATATATATGTTTCTTTCTATGTCAACATTGAGATTTCGCTCTATTTTCATTTCGTTTCTTATTTGTTCGTTTCTAACTCTCTCCAGTTTCGATCTACCGCAACTTCGTTTCAGATAATCCATTTCTGTCGTCATAAGTTTGTTTTTATTAGCTTTGGTGACGTCTCATACTTCCGAACGGTAAAGTGTAATAATTTGGACTATAAACTACTACTGTACTATTACCGTAACTATTACCAACTACTACCGTAAATGTGTTTTTTGGTTTTTCGTCGAATTGTTTTTTGCCAGAGAAGAGAGTTTAAGGCACGGGTCGCTGCTCTACCCTTGTTTATTCTTTCCCTGATTTTATCTGCGCTATTTCCCTTTTTGTTGAAAATGACCCCCAAATATTTGCAGGATTGCACGCCTTTGATTTTGTCGTCTTCCAAGACTAGGTCACATATTTCATCTGTTCCCACTGATAGATATTCACATTTTGCCATATTCATGTTTAGACCTGCGCCCTCATATTCTTCTTGCAGTTTTCTTACCATATAGCTAAGATCGTCGCTGTCTTCGGCAACTACTACCTGTTCATCTGCAAAGAAAAGTGTATATAGCGTGTTTTCTTTAACCGTTATTCACATATTTCTACATTTTTTTTTACCCATTTCATTAAGGATCTGTCCTTAGATTTTAAATAAGGTGGGTGATAGACAGTAGTCTTGTCTTAGTTCCTTTGTTGTTTGAAAGGGGGAGGTGATTTCTTGTCCCATTTTAGTTCTTGCAAAGTTTTGTTTGTAGTATTTTTGAGTGGCGTTAATAAGATTTGGGTTTATTTTCAAGTTACCCATTTCTATCCATATTTGGAAGATCGGTACACTGTCAGATGCTTTTTCCAAATCTATTAAAGCTATATGGGTTTCTCTATTTCTCTTCACTCGTTTTTCCATTGCAATTTTTAATGTGAAAATATTATCTATAGTGGAGCGTCCGGCCCTAAATCCCGCTTGTTCTTCGGGTTGTTTGTCTTCAATGTCATTTTTTATCACGTTTCGTAGTACTTTTGAATATAGTCGTCCTATAGTAGCAATCACTGCGATCCCTCTATAGTTTTTAGGATCCATCTTTGTGCGTTTCTTGTGTATTGGAGAGATATACGATTGTCTCCATTTTTCTGGAACTTCTCCATTTAAACATCTTTCGAATAATTTTCGGATTATTTCAAACAGTTTTGATGATCCATACCTAATCAAGGTATGCCGCCAGGGCCAGGAGATTTTCTTAATTTCATTCTCTTAACTGCTTCTTTTACTTGTTCTATTGATATTTCTATTCTTCCTTCTACTCCCACTTGTTCATTTGTCTGTTTAAACCTTTATCTTCTCTCTGTTAATAAGTTTTTAAAATGCTCTACCCATGTGTTCTCTGGTATTCTATTTATTATGATTTGGTTTTTGTCGTTGTTCTCGTCGTTTTTATAGTTCTCCAGGCTTCAGAGCTCTTTGTTCCTCCTACATGGTTGTCTAGGTATTGGCATTTTTGTTCCCATGCACTATTTTTCTTTTGAACCACTTCTCGTTTGACTTTTTTATTCAAGTTTTTATATTGTTGTTTTGTTTGTTCGTCTCCCTGTTGTAATAACTTTTGTTTAGTTGTATTAACAAAAAGTAAAAAAAAAACAATTTTATTTTACAAATTATATTTTGAACGCTCCTTCAAAATATAATTTGTAAAATAATGACTTAAAAATACTCTGTAAATGACTGTAAAATAATCACTTTATGAAGTTTGAATGGACAAAAAAGAATTTTTCTATTAATAACAACAGGTCAAAAAAGGAGGAAATTAAGATCGAGATTTTAAGAAGAATTATTGAAAATTATAACGCAATAATTAAATTGACAATAACTTGGTAAAACATATTATTATATCAATACTATGGATTGTCCATAGCGTTTACTATTCATTTCCTCAGTTAGTGTTTGACCAGAAAACGGGGAACTGGAGAAAGCAGGAGATAGAGAACTATAATAAAACGGGTCCTCTCATTTTGGGTGGACCTTCCATTTTAATTGTTCTTATGTGTTTCGATTATATTTGGCTTATATTTTTTTGTTGTACGTATTTTAAAAATATATAAAAAAACAACTTATTTGATTTCAAACTTGTGTTTTGAAGACAGCTTTGATTAGGAATCTAATTCGTAAAAATGATATGTTCAAAATAATTGTTTATTTCCTATTCCTAATTGATCAGAAACAGAATATTAAGTTTAGGGTTTGTTTTAGAAAACATTATATGCAGTTCTCGAAGCGATGTACAACTATAATGTAAAAGTGATAGGAGTAACAGTATGGAGTTTATTGGATAATTTAGAGTGGACAACTGGATATACGTAAGTGATGATTTAACAATTAACGTTGTAGTACTTGATAGGTTTTCAGGTTTATTACTGTTATTAAATTATTTTTGCTATAATGTAAGAACTGTGTGGTTTATTATATTCTAAAATATTTCTTTACTCATCATTTTAGGACAGTAATATTATATCTTTGTCAGGGAAGTGTATAAAAGTGTGAAGTATACCTATAACTAAAATATCAAATAAACTGTATTCTGTCTTGTGCATTATGAAAAAACCTGGAATTGAGCTAAAGAAGTTTCACGAAAACATAAAATAATTAGTACAATTAACAAAGACATGTAAAAGAATATTTTTTTGAGTGGCCTGAATGTTACAGTGGAACATTCTACAGTGTTACTTTTCTTATGTGGTTTCTGGTTCAACCTTATTTAGAGTGCTATTAGCTGATACTGATGACTCAATTATTTCTTGTTTTTGACTGATGTGGACATGGTTTTGCATTTTTGGGTTCGATGATGATGCTATCTTTGCTAAGCTTTACTTTTTATCGTCAATTATGGTTGAGGTACCGGCAGTTTTAACAGGAATGTTCATCATGTCTGATTGATTGTCTTCGACTCTGCAACGGGACTGTATCAGCTTTTTGAAAACTATTTATTATGATAGCGGGATCAATTTCAGTTTATATGTTACATATCATAGCGGAAAATATACGTGTTAGAAGTTTTTTTCATAATTTTGCCTTTGCCACACCACGAGCTGTTGATCCCATCTTTCTTATAACGATCTAAATACGCAAAAATCCAGAGGCTACAAAACGTGACCTAAATGTGGTCGAAGCTTTAGCACATTTTGTTCACTTAATTTTTGAACAAGTTGAATATCGATATGTAAACTATGTTCATCATAAATCAATAACGTAGGTCATTTATCTCCAATAAATTTAAAAAAATTAAACAAAAAATAATTTCTAAATATCTTTAACTCCATCCAGCCATTTATTGTTATAGCGTAGGTTATTCATATAAACTCTTAATCGCTAGAAGTCATCTACGCATCCCAAACATGTTTTTCATGGAAAACAATTATTGGAGGAACTTTTTGTCCATCTGCATTCCTCGTTCTCATTCCTTGAGCCCTTATTAGGGCGTAGTGGCACTAAATATTAACGGATTCATGTCGGGATTTTTCCACCAGAGTCTTCATTTGGTCTGCCCATCGTGTTGGAGATCTTCCTCTTAGAGGTTAGTAATATGTTTTCTCCAGGACACGCGTAGAGTTCTTCTATAGACCCACATTTCGAAAGCGTTTATCTTATAACTATCGATTTTTTTTGAGCATTTATCTTTCAGCTGCGTATATATATATATATATATATATATATATATATATATATAATATATATATATAGATATATATATATATATATATATATATATATATATATATATATATATATATATATATATATAATCAATAACCCTTCTACCCTAAGGTGTTGGGTGTATTGTATAGAAATGGGAAAAAGGGCATTGACCAATCTGAATTCAGTATTTCTCGTTATTGTTCGTTTTCTCCATATTTTAATCAGTTTAGCTGTTGCGATTTATTTCGGAGGAGCAATCGCCATTGTTGGTAATCAGGATTACCATCTGAATTACACACCATTAAAACAGTGATGTTTTATTCCTGGGCATTGCTGTTCCTCGATGTCTAGGAAATCCGGCCATTTTCCCAATTTTGTCTGTAATATTATTTTTAACATCTGAAGAAAGTACGGCGAGTCTTTCCTGTGTTTAACTTTTCACTTCGCGGATGACTCCGCACCTTCTTTCCGTTTGTCGTATGGTCCAAATTTATGAAATGTACGTCATCATTCCGTATACAACGTAACTATTCGTACCGTATAATGGGGTGAATCGGATCGCTGTGGTGAATAGGATTAAAAGTACGGAATGTGTTAATTAAATCCACAATGTTTAAATAACGCGCCAAAACCGTTCCATTTCAGCGTGATGGGTTGCGATCATCATAGTCGCGTAAAGGTTGGTGATATCTCAACATGCGCAGCATGTAATACTGAAGGTCAACACATAACCTAAAAACATTGTTAGTCACGTATTTTTGAGCGTACAAAAACTTTGTGGTAATATCCTAAATAAGGAGACGTACATTCAAATTCTGCAGTGTTTGTGGGTCCAATAGGTTAGTAATTATTGTACACAAAGTAGTTTTTGTTCATTTTTTATTCCATAACAAACTGGAAAATTATTTGTAATTTGCTGCATTTGTTTAAGATATTTGGGGTGAATCGGATCAATAGCTGGGGTGAATAGGATCGATAGCTGGGGTGAATAGGATCAATAGCTAACGTAAATAGGACAATTAGCCGCTGTGAATAGGATCAAAAACTGGTCTAAATAAGGTTATTCTAGGTATCTACATCTTTGCTCAAGATGCCTAGAGTTTACAAACCTAAAGTTGGTGGGCAAATGTACAAAAAACCAAACCAACATGTCATTGATGCTGCGAAAAAGGATGTCAGTAATGGTTACAGTATAAGACAAGCCGCTAAAAGAAACAATGTTCCTTACACCGTACTCCATAGGCATCTTAAAAATCAAAATGTGCGTAATCAAGGAGGCCAGACTGTTTTAACGGAAGAAGAAGAAAGATATATTACTGCTAACTTGCTCAAATGCAGTGAATGGGGTTATCCTCTTGATATCTTTGATTTAAGAATGCTTGTCCAGCACTATTTAAATAGAATTGGAAAAGTTGTTCCTCGTTTTAAAGATAATCTCCCTGGTAAAGAACTTACGTATAGTTTTTTAAAACGACATTCCAATGTGTTATCAGAAAGAATGTGCCAGAATATAAAACGAGCACGTGCAGGTGTTACGAGGGTGACAATTTCCGAATATTGAACATCTATTTAATGAATTGGGTGGTATTCCCGCTGGCAACATCATAAATTATGATGAAACCAACCTTTGCGATGATCCTGGCAGGAAAAAAATAATTGCAAAACGAGGATGTAAATATCCCGAACGCATTATAAATCATAGCAAATCATCTACATCAATAATGTTTGCAGCTTCCGGTAGTGGAGTTTTAGTGATATGTTATGTAGTCGACAAAGCGTTGAATATGTATGATTCTTGGACAACTGGAGGACCATCTCGGACCAGATACAACCGTAGCAAATCAGGATGGTTCGATAGTTACTGTTTTGAGGATTGGATACATTCCATTGCAATTCCATACCTAAAAAAGTTACCAGGAAAAAAGGTATTAATTGGAGACAACTTGTCGTCCCATCTTTCTGTAGAGTCCATAAAACAGTGCTCAGAAAACAATATAAGATTTATTTTTTTGCCGAGCAACTCCACACACCTGACGCAACCTTTAGACGTTGCTTATTTCAAACTATTGAAAGTTGCGTGGAGAAAAATAGTCGAAACGTATAAGAAAGGACCAGGAAGGAAGGAGTGCAGTATTCCCAAAACTGTCTTTCCCAATCTACTGAAACAGCTGCTTGAGTCTATTGAGGCTAACAGTTCTAACAATATAAAGGCAGGGTTTGATAAATGCGGAATAATCCCTTTAAATTCCGATCGTGTGCTGCGTATGCTACCTGTGGAAGGCCCAGAAAATGAAACACAAGAAGAGGAGATCAACAACTCTTTTACTGATATTTTAAAGACTATGCGTACGATGACAATCAGCCCAGACACCGCAAAAAGAAACTTAACGTTCCCGCTGGTAAGAGTGTGGCAGTTGATGACGTTGAATCTTCTGATGAAAGTAGCCAACACTTTAGCACTCATGATTCAAATTCAGATATAGATTCCATGTCTTACTCTGAAGAAGACAACGCGTCCATATTTGATGAGAACGAAAAGTTTCTTCAGTCATCAGTTAACTTTGACCAAGAATCTGTAACGAATGGTCTGCATAAAGTTACAAGAAAAGCTATCAAGATTGGGGACTGGGTCCTGGTAAATTTGCCTTATTGCAAAAATGATAACAGACCGGGTACATCGAAATCTTTCAGTAGACTTTATATTTCACAAATTGTAACAATAACTGAAGACGGATATGAGGGAAATTTTTTACGTGAAAAAACTGACACAAGGGATTATTCCGGATATATATACACATTTCCAGATGTAAAGGATGAGTACCTGTTTAAATTTGAACAAGTTGAGGGCAAGCTAGACTCCCCAGAAAGACATGGAAGAGGATCTTTTAGATTCCAAATTAATTTACAAGAATATTCTAAACAAATAAAATAATAATAACCTGTTCAATATTACTTCTTTAAAAAAATGTTCATTTTTGATGTAATTTTTTTAACCTTCTTATAATTTTAAGCCAATTTTTAATCATACCTAACGAAATTATATGATTCTATTAACCACTAAGGTAGGTGAATGCGATTAAACATTAGAAAAGCACGGTCGATCCTATTTACCCCAGTGGCAGGTGAATAGGATCATTGAATAAAAAAAATTCTATAGTGCGCCACTGGGCAGTATAAAACAAATTTGCACCGAAAATGATTAATACTGATGTAAGCTAATGTTTTGATGTATATAGCTAAATTCTATGCCTAATAATCAGGAAGTTACACATTCCCAAAATTCAAAAATGATCCTATTCACCCCATTCTACGGTATGTCAAAACAGGTTTGCTCATAAAATATTACAGACCATGTAAGCAATTTTGTGTCTGTGCACTAGTGAAGAAAATCTCCTTATACTAATTAGCTGACCAACGTTGATCACTTTTTTTCGAGCGGCCTGTATTGCTCAAATTTTTACCGCTCTTCCGCTTTAAGTCGATTTATTTTGAATGTCTTCTAATTGTTTCAGATGAAATTAAAATGTTAATAAATTATAATAACGCTTATTTGATTTAATATTCAGAGTCACATTATTGACTATTTAAAGCAGACTAACCAAAAACTAAACCTTCAAAACCAATATTTTAACTGATTTAAAAAACCCATATTTTCTGACAAGTCTCAAATATCAAGGGTCTTTAATTTTGTTCAATTTAATAAAACTTTTGATTATTGTAGGTTTTAATTTTTGTTTTTTAAATTTTTATATTTAACAATATTAATTTACCTATTTAAAATTTAGAATAACCATGTTTTATCTTTCAGAGCTCGTTTTGGCCTCTACCACGTAAACTTTAGCCATCCAAATCGTACGAGAACTCCGAAAAAATCAGTAAACTATTACAAGCATGTAGCAACCACAAAACGTTTATTAAGTGCTGAAAATGGTTCAAATTTTAATAGTATTTCAGGATTTATGACGATAATATTATTATTTACAATTCTGTGGAACTCATTTATGTAATTATTATTAAAATTATTAAATTATTTATCAGAATAATACTACTTTTTGTCAAATTTCCAAGCAATTTTTCCGTTTATTTTATTGACAGAAGTGGACAGAATAAGAATGTCCCTGCGGAAATCCTCACGATCTTAGTCTACAAGTATGATATAGTAAATATGGCCTCCTTTGGCAGTGCATTATCTATTCAGACGTTAAGAGTTAACGTTAAGAGTTGTGGTAGTCTAAAACTCCCTGGCAGAAATAATCCATGATATTCTGGAGTAAAGAAGACTAAATTAAACATAGTACAAAGACTTGTTTGGCTTGCAATTACAGGGGCTCTCAGTAATACATGAACAGTAGTTATGTCTTTGTCATGTCTTTATTGGACCATCCATCTCTACAGGACGTTATAGGGGAAGAAACGAGATAACCTGAGTAACAAAATATAATTTACAAGATTGAAGAAAGGAAACAACAGAACACTAAAAACGATCCATAAATAACTACAAAAAGAAATTTAAGACAATAACAGAACCATATGTAAAAGTCTAATAGAAAATAGGTAAAGAAATAATAAATAAGACTTACTAACAATCAATTTAATTTAACTATCAGACGACCGGTTTCACTTTCTACAATATGCAAAGCATCTTCAGGTCTCGATACAAAGTTAAATAAATGCTGAAATGATAAAAACCCATATTAGGGTGTTGTCTAATAAAGATAAACAAATTAGATGTTGTAAATTACTTATGTAATATATATATATATATATATATATATATATATATATATATATATATATATATATATATATAGATATATACAATAACTTGTTCAAGTTGAAAAATAATTGCACACCCACACAATTTGTACATCTAAACTTATTCATTGTCATAAAACTGTCACTTCATAAAACAATTACTCAATAAATAACACACATTTCATAAATATATCTCTCGAATAAGTATAAGTAACTTTTAAATAATACAATGGTATATAACATCACTTTCATTTAACAAACAATCACACACATATCTCTGCTTCATTGGATCAAATCTATCTCCTCAAGAACTTCCCGTTTACTGTCAAACAACTACAATAACAGAATTAAGTTCTCCATTCAACAATATATAGTAGTTTCAACCATGTTCTACCATCCATCGATTAATAGAGTACCGGCATGTAAGTAATGTTTATTTATTTGCTTATTTATTAATTTATTACAATCTAATAGACTATTTTAAAACAATTTATGGGTCTTACCTTGTCTGTCTAAACTTTTAAAACTTTTACACCTTTTTATTCAATTTACTCATTTTGAAATAAAACCACAGACATGTAATATTGGCATAATTATTGTAATTTACAACATCTAATTTGTTTATCTTTATTAGACAACACCCTAATATGGGTTTTTATCATTTCAGCATTTATTTAACTTTGTATCGAGACCTGAAGATGCTTTGCATATTGTAGAAAGCGAAACCGGTCGTCTGATAGTTAAATTAAATTGATTGTGAGTAAGTCTTATTTATTATTTCTTTACCTATTTGAAATGGACTCACACAAGTAACACATTCATGATTTCTAATAGAAAAATTAAAAAGGATAGAAAATAAATACCATCACAAGAACATTTAAAATAACCAGCACACTGAGATCTATCTTCTTCTTCTAGTTCCATGACCGTTATCGATCGTTGGATATCATGTTGGCTACCATATTCGCTATCGTGACTTTACTGAGATCTATCCTTTACAAAATCAAACCCATAAACATACAGGAATGATCAAAGATGATTTATGAAATTTTTTTGGGAGAAACCTCAAGACCACTAAAAATATAAGCATAAATAACACCTTAAAAACAAAGACTTTAGGGGCAGATATCAGATATTCACATATGTCTAGCATAATGAGCACAGAGTACAATGGAAAGATGTATTAATAGTTACAAAAGAAACAGACAGTAATCATCTCGCTCACTAAATGAAGAACAATGTGGAGCAAACTCAGAAATAAAATGTAGTAGTCTCTGGTTACCAATTCTGAAATAGGAATTTAGTAAGGAAAACATACCAAAATTAATAAGTTAATAGAAGATAAGTTTGTAGGGGTTTTAATTGCCTACCACATTAGGTATCACTTATCTGGGGACAGAAAAAACTGTGCTGGAGATAGGGTAAGAAAAACAAACAGAACGTTTGTGAGTGGCTACTCTAGGTAAAGTTGTAGAGCTGGGTCGTAAGTAAATGAATAAAAGGGACTAGTAAGGGGTAACTATAAAGGAAGAACATAAAAAAGTACTTACATAGATTTCCTGCTAAACTATTTAAATTTGGACGCTGTTTACAAGAATCTTTTTGCTGAATGGAAAAAAGGCTTTTCTTTCCTAAAAAAATATTAAAAGGATTAGAATCTTTTTAAAGGAAATAATACTACACTTGGTTTAGGGAGGAACATCACATATTTATTACAGTTAATACAAATAAAATTAAAAAAATGCAAAAACAACTTACAATGGTGCCATCGGTTTACAACAAACTCTAGACGTTGGGGATACTATAGGAATTTAAATTATTGGTTGGGCGACATTTTGTAGCGGTTCCAACAACTAGTTGAAACTATTTAACTAATTATTAGAATTCAAATTTAAAAATTATCCCAAAGAGATAATATCAACTGTCATATGTTGAAATTAAATATTTTTAACTTTTTGAAATATTAATTAAACTTTAAATTTATTTGCATTTAAAAGAAGAATAACAAGACACTTGGCCACTCCATAAAACTTATAATTTATTTATTACAATATTTCAACTTGCCATAAAAGCAAAGGGCTCGGATTATCTTGTTCAATTTTCAAAAACTCGACCACTCAAGTTCTTGCTTGAAACTATGTGAACCTCTTAAATTGTTAAGACGCTGTTTTACATATCTCCCACATTGGACACAACACATACAACAAATCAGTGATTATTTCAACAAAACTGCCACATTGCCTTTGATTAAATTCATCTCTCCACAATGGAAATTTTGCCGACTTTTTTAGTTTACACACGCCCTTTTTTATACACCTTTACACACGTTTACACACTTTTCCCTATAAGATCTTAATCTGAACTTTAACTTAAACTCCACATTTTACTGCTACAATACACTTTATTTCTATGACAAAAAGGAAATACAAAAAACCATTACAAATTTTAAAAAATCCGGACTCGATACAATGAATTGACCACTTCAGTGATCCATTGCAGAGTGATGTAATTCTCTTCCCCGCAATACTTTCTCACCAATCTAAGTGAATGTTTATTTGACGCACAATATTAAGCGGAAACGATCAAAGACATACCAAAGAAATACGCATTTGATTTAATATATACAGACCAGAAATTACCACCAGGGAGACCTATAAAATACGAGAAGGATCAAGATTGGACGACCTTTAAATTTATGTACACTATTTTACCTGTTTTCTTAGTTTGTCGCTGGGGCGGCGCTGGTATAAAGAAAAGTATTTAACGCTAAGATTTTGGTTCTTAACAGGTTAAGTGCTACCATAATAACAATTTTAATGTCTTCATTGGCCAATCTAATTTTTTAAAGTTTTTGTATTACTTTATTTAACTTTCAATTCAAAATCTCTAAAATGCGAGTTTTGATTAAAATTTCATTTTTCAAAATGTGAGTTTTGCGGCCACCAGCAAGATTTTTATCACAAAATGCCTATAACAGTCTAACGTAAAGCAGCCACTATACTACTCACGAAGTTGATCGGAGTTCAGCTAGTACGAGAGTGTAGACAGATACTTCATGCGACTTCGCTTCGCCTCGTTCTACTTCCGTTCTGTGTCGGTTTTTTGCGTCAGAATCAAAGAGTTCGAAGTTCGCATACGAACTGTCACACTACATTAATTGACTTCACCTATGAGTATGTAGATAGTCACCTCGCCTCGAGTAACTTCACTTTGACACTTGTCCAAAGAACTTCGGTCGAGAGTGTAGACGGCGTTTAACATTACACCTTCACTTGTCTATTCTGATAACGTGTCGGCTAATCTAACAAGTAAAGGCGCCGTCGCCGTTGCTTGCGTTTTTTTTTTCGGAAGAATCGGATGAGATTCTAGTGACAGTGAAAATGAATCGAGTACTCCGAAACAGAATAAAAAAAAAGAAAACGTATGGCCGGAAATACCAAACCGTTGGGACAAGATTATCGGGGTCAACCAGTAAAGAAAAAAAAATAATATACGAATTTCTGTTGCTGCTATATAATCTATCATTGTCCAACATTCTGAAGTCTCCGAACAGGAAATTTTAGAAAAACCAATAGTATCTAATACAGTGAATAAACTATTGTCTGGGGATCAGCCAACAGCATAAATTTACATTTAAGGACTATAGTTTTGCAGGTTTTAAACACGATTATACAAAAACTTTTACAGTAAATCGCCCTTTTAATTCTACGAATATTTTGTAGACGATGTCTACAAAATATTCTTAGAATTGAAGAAGTCTTTTATCCGTGATGGTAAATATCTAATTTATTTTGTTTAACTGATTTTGATTTTTTTTTTAATTTTTAGGTAGAAGAAACAAATTGTTATGCCCTGCAGTGTCAGTAAAGCTGGACATTCACGTTCCGACTTGCGGTCCCACTTAGTAGGACTACTAGTTGGATATTCGTCTCCAGTCACGTTCCGACTTTCTATCCAACCAGAGGTCCAACTTCAGTTCTAGTTTGTTTTCACGACTGTGTACATCGCACCAAAAAATGTATCGAGTAAACACTAGGCAAAATATAATTAGGAGAAGGAAAATGGTAGCATTGTGTTTATTATCCTTATTATTTGAAAAAAAGAAGACAAAATGTTGCATTAAGAAATTATTTGTCGATTGTGTAAACTATTGTGACACGAAATTGCCCAATTTCATTGTTGAGAACGATTACAAAAACCATCTCAGAACGGACATCTTCACTTTTTCGCTGTTGCTGGAAAAAGTTGGTCTACTCATTTCCAAAAAAAGATACCGTCATGTGTGAATGTGTCAGTACTGAACAACGCGTTGTAGCAACTTTACGCTTTCTGGCCAGTGGAAGGTCATTTGAGGATCTGATGTTTAGCCGTAAAATATTTCCACATCTATTGGAAAAGGTAATACTAGAAACTTGAAGGGCTATAATAATTTTTTGTGCAATTGAAAGTTATTTTCTATTATTTATTTGCGAACTAGGGATCTGCGCTTAGCGATGTCGGATAGATAGCACCAATTAAGATTGTGTTTGGAGCTGATGTTGTAAGCAAATTGTATACGGGAAGAAAATATCAGTAACAAAGTGATCTTATAGTAAACTTACTATTTTAATTAAGAATAAGCCACAATATGAGTTAGAAATGAAATGTATTTTACGGTTGGACTTCCACTTCGGAAATCGTCATCAAAATATTCCGAAGTTGAAGTCAAAACGTAAAATAAATTTAATTTCAAACTAATATTTAGGCTTATTTCAAATTAAAATAGTAAATTTGCATAAGATGCCACAACAAAATAAGTACAGAATAATATAAAGACACAGCTACTTCTAATTTCAGTAAAACTATGATTTAATTTTCGTTGTTTGTTGATAATTTTTTTGTAGTCAATCTGGAGTGTTGGAAATTATACCTGTGTGGGAATGTCCGAAATAGATCTACAGGAAGGACAATGATTTACCCTAACAAAAAGTGGATGCTGATGAAGAATCGTGTATTTGAATAGGAGTAATTTTCGTGCAATTGAAATTTTGTTTTCTTTTAAATATTTGCGAGCTAGGGATCTTTGCGTAAAGTAATTCATAGAAATTTCATGCCTTAACAGGTGCCAAAATTCAACTGACAGGAAATTTTTGATCTTACCTGTGATCCGACTTCCAACTTCACCATTCACGCTCTCACTTCGTCGCCAGTCGTAAGTCGAACCTTCAATTCATCACTCTAGATGTTCCGACTCGTACCACTAGTTGTCCAACTAATCCAACCAGCCTACTTAGGGTCCGATTTCAGATCCAACTGCGGAAGTTGAAACACTAGTCGGACTAAAAATTGGACCGTAAATAGCTTATTTAAACGCACGTGTTACAGCGTGGCGCAACACTGATGTGGCCGAAATAAAACGATTCATGGGTATAGTTATATGGATGGAATTATGTTAATTTCCTTTTTTTTATTCGTAGTGGTTAAAGAGTGATTTTTATGTGAATAATATCAAAACAGTAATGTCAAGGAATCGCTTCCAGTTATTGTGGAAAACGCTGCATTGTAACAATTAGTTAGTAACAACAGATACCAGTTTAAAGAAGACTGTTCCCTTGGTAAGCAGACTTTAGTCTACTGGATCAATTCAAGGTTGCCATCGCTCCTAAAGAAAACGTGTGCATTGACGAAACTTTAGTGCCTTTTCAAGGTGACGAAAATTTAAGCCCTATATAGTGTCAATAAAAGGTACCCATTTGGGATAAAATTATTCAAACCTTGTCTGGAAGGTGGTTATACCTACGATTTTAACCTATATTGTAGAAAAGCACATGCTAAAGGTAGCACCGTACCAAAAAATGTAGTGATAAAACTTATGGATGGACTGCTTGACAAAGGACGAACACTTGTGATAACTACTACAATTTTGTCACACTTGCACATAAACTCCTACACCGAAAAATTTATATAATTGGAAATATACCTACAAAAATTTTATTTTGTTTGGAAGTGGAGGGACCAGTGAGATCTGCTGATGATTAGTATCAAATTCGCTGACGAAATGGTGACAATACAGAAGCCACGCAGCGGCAGTAGTCTGCGGCCTTATGTTGGAAGAAGAAGGACTGGGACTCCATTACTACATACTCTATAAATAAATCAAAAGCCTTTGGGGTCACCACTGTTGACAAGATTTTATCTACACCGTTTACAATACTTATATACCTACAATTAACCTCATATCTAATTGTGACAATAAAAAATAAAAACAAATAATAAAAAATTGTTAATATATAATCTTCCAATAAACAGTCTTTTTTTTCATGGTTTTGGTAGTAAAATAAAAAATCTCTTTAGATAAATCCTGTTAATTTATTTATTTACAAACTTAATAATAAGTTAACTCTCTTATCTAATAATAGCATTTAATAGCAAGTATGTAAATATATGCTCAATTCATATATATTTACATGCTTTAAACAATCCTCATTGGTTATGGCTTACCTGCATTTGGAGAAGTTTGAAGACAAAATGTGTAAAGTGATTTATTGCTTAGTTTTATTCAATTATTTAGGGTAAGTAATAATAAGGTACCTAATTTATGGAATTCCTACGGAAAAATCTAGAAAATTAAGTCTGAAAAAGAGTTTTGTCACACTACAGGAGTTAACTATTGACTGAAACATACTCTGAGTTGATATTAAAATATTAGTTAACCTCTTTTTCTAAATTGTTGTTTAGTTTTTTTTAAGGTTCTACTCTATCAAAGTTTTCTCTATAACTCTGTTCTTTATATGCCATTCTAGACAATGGTAAACATTATTTTATTCTAAACTTAAACGCATCAGTTTAAAACGTCCACAGTAAAACTATATTTCTTACTGGATAGTAGGTATGGATCAGAATCTATTGGAGGAATTGGACCTAAAAATAGATTGACACTAGATTCCAGGACACAAAAGCTACGAAGGTAACGAGTAGGCTAATAAACTGGTCCGAGAAGGTACTTGTGCGCCGTTAATTGGCTCGGAGCCCTACTTTGGTAACCATTGATAAACAAGTGCAACTTTGCCATAGTGGAAAAATGAAAATGCACCGGGACAAGGACAGGTTAAAGGGCTCGTTAAGGGACATTCAGCCAAAGACACAGCCGACTTACTGACCCATAATTGAATTACTGTTAGGGTGATAGTGGGGTTGCTGACTGGACACTATAGGTTCAATAAATATTTGAGTTGTAAGGGCTTGACGAAATAGGATACTTCAGAAACTAGACGTCGCTTTTGTTTAGAAGAAGAGGACACCGCTCTACACGTCTTATGTCAGTATGAAGGCCTCACAAGGCTACTGTATATGAAAGGTCCTCTTTTAAGCTTGTCAAACTCATTGGGAGGATATGGCTGGATGAGAAGCTTTAAGTGACAAAGAAAATCTGCAGAGATCACAAATAATCAAGTCTAGAGCTACCCTAGTTTACAATCTGTAATTTGGAATGAATCAAAAGATAATGCTAAATAATTTTATAAAAAAATGTAATAAGCAAATAACGAAAGAAGTAAATTTATTAAAATCTTAACATTAGTTGGTATTTTAAATCTTTGAATATAGTAAATATACAGTGTGAACTGTAATTATTGGGACATGGATCAGAATTAGATTATTCGGACAATCAGAATGTGCCCATGAGACTAAATATACCTTCATAAAATGTTGTTCTGGAAAAAATATACAGTGACTGCAGTTGATAATAATTTAACTGCATAATTATAAATGGTTATTGAAATCTACAAAACGGCATAACTTTGAATAATAAATATTATTCAATTTAATATTTTACATTTTATTATGAAGACCAAGCACAATTTCGAGAATTCCTAATAATGAAATTGACGGAAACTTTTTTCGACAAACATTTTTATTATTTTGATAATGACCATCGAGTTAGAAATGACACAGAATACACCACCCACCAAGAAACGAAAGATTTGTCGAAACCTTTGGTGTCCGTAGGAAAGAAATTTTGGAGTGACACTGACAGTTAAACTACTTAGTATACTAAGAAAAGAAATGAAGAAGTCGTTCAAAACAGTAGTAAAGTTATAGTTACACCTAGAAACAAAGTAATTATTAAAACTAATGTTTTTGAGAAGACCTGGTTTGTATGAATTGTTTTTTTTTCTGTAAAATTTATTATAACCCATATATTATTTCTGTACTGATAAGTTAAAATGTCTTAAGTCAAAAACATCGATTTGTTTTTTTAAATAAACTAACGTACTAAACTTATGTTAGTACGTTAAAAAACCGATAAAAAGCAGTAGAATTTGATAAATAATTTCAAAATAGAAATGAAAATCATTCGATTTCTATTACTTTTTATCGATGTTTTAAGGTAATAAAATATGATAATGTATATAGTATTATTCTTTTTTACTATTATATTATATTTTTTTATAATATTATACTTTTTTTAAAGTATTAAAATATGTATGTATATACACAAATATGTATAACAGTATTATTCTTTTTTACTATTGAAAAACACACACGAAACAACACTTCTCAATACGTACACAAACTTTAGTTTTTATAGGTTGACAGATAAATTTGGATTGCGACAAAGCCCTTCGCAATCTTCGCTTCTTGCTGGGTGGTGTATTTTGAGATATTGATAAAAAAATATGATGTAAACATTATTTTTACGTGACATTGAATGCAACAAGATAGTTAAAATTAACAGAAATAATTTAATAATATCTAACAATAAACAACTTTGGAAAGTAAAATTCATATTTCGACGATAAATCAAATTTATGAACAATTTAACTTAAAAAACACACATAAACTAAACTTTGCGTTTGTCTTGAACTAATTTATTTAGCATAAACTAACAAATTAATTTGCGCAAAAAAAATAATAATATAATAAAAGAAAGCTTATTGATTCAGATAATGAAACTATTTTTGTTCCTAGACAAATGGTAATTTTAACATTTAAAGAAAATATTACTCTTCAATAGTTGAGCAATACATATACCAAGTAGTACAGTGTTTAAATTGTTTTAAATTAGGTCACATGCTTACGCAGTGTCAGTCTATTTTAAGCTTATGCAAAAATGGTAGCAAAGAACATGAAGACAACTCCCACTGTAGTAACTCACAATATTGTCTTCATTGTAAAACAAACGATCATACGACTCTAACGAAACAATGCCCAGCTGATTAACATTAATATAATAATAAAAAAATAATAATGTTGATTAAGAATACCACATTTAAAGAAGCTAGTATATATAAAGAAGTATATAGCAAAAAATCCATCTTATGCCAAAATCACAACACATAATAAATTTTAATTGCTTAGTAACTTATCACAACACCTGCCCACCACAAATGGCAGTATAGTAAACAGTTCATATCTAAACAAAATCATTATCCTCTTAAAATCCCCTTAAAATCTTAATATCCCCTACTCACTGTAAAACTGTCATACAATTTCCTTCAACTTCTCAAACAAAAGAATCAGTGTTACGTCCTATAATTCCTAACCCATATCAGAATGAGTTTATGAAAAAATACAATTACAAATTCTACAAGAAATTCCATTTACTTTAAAAAGAATAATTAAACAAATTGACCCCAACCTAGTCTCGTTTGAATAACAAAAAGTCACTCAAAATGAAATCAGAAACATACTTTATTGTTTATCAGAAAACGATAGTGATGGGAAATCATAGAACAATTAATATTCTTCATTGAAACTGTCTATTATAAAACAAAAGGCTAATTTGCTTTATTTTCTAGAAAGTAATAGAGTTAATATCATTATTAATAACTAAACTTGGTTGTCACAAAATAAAAATTTATATATTAAAGGTTTTAAATTGATGAATTGATCGACGCCTAAGGAGGCGTTGCAGTTGCAAACAACATTTCCTCTTCAGATATAAAATTTAAAACAAATCATAATTCAAATATAGAGGTTTGTGGTGTTTTTTTTTTAAGATTATCAATACTATGTGTTTACAAACCTCCTAAAATATATATGTCTCATCCAAAGATTGGGACACTTTATTTGGACAAATTAAAGACAGAGTTTTAATTAGTGGCGACTTTAATAGTCATCACTGTAGATGTTTTTCAATATAGGATAGTGACCAAGATAATATTCTAGCTGACGCTTTAGACAATGCTAATCAAGTTTTATTCAATGACGAAAGACAAATCAAAATATCCAGACCGAATGAGCGTCACTTAATGATATTCTTAACAGTATCTCCATATTTAACAGGCTTTACTACCTGGAATACTACCTGGACTACAGACTGGTCTATATTTGAAAATAACTTTGAAAAATACCTTCCCGACAGTCATTCTATAGATGGTACATCCTTGAAAATGTTTAATAACTTAACTTGTTTAATAACCAAAATCTGGTTTTCCCATAAAAAAGCTTTTCGAGAGTATAATATTGTCTCAAATCTTGAAAATTATCTGAAATTTACACACATCCAAGCTAAATGCAAAGTTGTTCTCACGAAAAAACAAAAAACATCTTGGATCAACTTTGTAAATATTATTAATAAAAGAATACCGCTCAATAAAATATCAAAATTTTTTTAATAAAATGGCCAATAAAAATTATCATTCAAAGACACAACCAATTTCAACAGAGCTAATAGAAGAGTTAATTGACAAGTTTGCTTCACCATACGTTAAATACTAATAAGGACCTTAACAATATGCAATTATAGTAAATTTAAATTACTAGAAAAACCGATAAACATCCAAGAACTGAATGCAGCTATTAAAATATTATAATTAACTGCATTCGGGAAAGATTATATTACTTATTCGATAAATAACCACCTCCCCGATAAGGCTAAAAACGTTTATTAAAAACATTTAATGATTGGCTTCTGGAAGGAAATTACAACGACAAAATGAAAGAAACAATTATATGTCTTTTTATGAAACCCAACAAAGACAAAACTCTCTCATCGTCTTATCGACCTATTTCTTTATTGTCTTGTACAACAAAAACTTTCGAAAGAATTATCAAAAATCGTCTGGACAAACTGGACAGTCGTACACTATAATATTTTGCCAAGCACTCAATATGGATTTCGATCTGGTCTTAGTACACTAGATACAATAAGTCACTTAACAACGGTTATTCGACCAAATTTTTCTAAAAATAAATATTTAGCATGTTTTTTTTCTAGACCTTAAAGGCGCGTACGACTGTGTTAATTTAACAGTAATGCATTCTAAGTTATGCAAACTGGGGTTGTCCACAAATTTATCCGCTAATATAGTTTATATTTTTAGCAACCAAACTTTATATATCAGAGACCATAGAAATCAGTTACATGGTCTAAGAATAACTCGTATAGGATTATCACAGAGGTTTATATTAAGCCCGATTCTCTTCAACATTTTTTCGGCAAGTATACACGGCATTTTTGTTGATTCCATAAAATGTATCAAATTTGCCGATATTATATGTATTTATTCCATGCGTGTTTCATATGACGATTACGTGAAGGTTTTGGAACACATCGCGAAACTAGTGG